ATTTCTTATGTAACAATAAAACTGAAAGAAAGACAGCAGTATGTTCAATGTCTCATCACATCCCCTGATAAGCGTCATCTGTTTCTCCAAAAACTTGGCAATCATTAGATTAAAACGTGTATATTAAAAGATAACCTATGAAGAAAACCCAAAAGAGAAAATGTATGATAAGTAAGTTTTCGAGGCCCAAACTCAAATTTGAACTGATAATAATATTGTCGCGACTAATGGTACTATTGTCATTGAGATAACACCTACCTAAATAGACGTAAACACGATGAAGAGGTGACTGTTTGAACAAACTACAAAGTGGATATATATTTCACGGTTTACACGGTTTGAAAAGGTTATAGTTATACATTACAATACAACTCTTATCTTGCCAAACGAAATGCCTGCCGTCAAAATTAGGTTAATAAGTTAAGAAATTGTAGCCATCCACCCAAACATTCAGGTGACGGTTACAATTACAAATTTGAACGTACATTAAAACTATGCCACCCGACACAAAAACTGTAACACTAAACCGGTGACCGACAACTAAGAACCTCTCATTCCGGGCTCCCACAGGTATCATATCACATGGCCCAATCAGTGACGTATCATTTGTGATGTGATCCATATTCTAACAATCCTAACAGCAACAACCAAGAACCTGGGTAGGGTCCCACTAAACACACCAGATGTTATTGGGCTTTGAGCGTTTTACCAAACAGAAGCTCTCGTAACAGAACTCTAATAGAATGGCGTCTCCCTGTCAGTACCCTAGTCAGATGTACGCCTGCCTTTCAGAACGTTAATAGATTACAGTTAAAGCTACAAGTTCCTTTTGTTTAAACAGGTCTAACAATATGAGATGGATATTGTAATTATGTGATATTGTAATTATGTTGTAATAATACGTTAATTATGTGTTCTCCAACAGTACCTTCCAAAGACAATAGGATATTAATTGTGGTAGTAGCACGCATCAAGTGATTAGCAAATAATAGATAAGATTGTTATTAGTGATTTTTGCACCCTATGGCACCTCCAAGATTAGTGACATCCAGGAGCTTGAAAACGAACAGAAAGCTTTCACCGCAAGGACTACTGGACTGCGTGATCTTCATTATTGGGACCTTCTCCAACGGATATCTCTGATCTGTATCTACAGCGTCGCAGAGAGCGTTTATTCTATTTAATATGTGGAAGATTCTCTATCACCATACCAACAACGATATTAACGTGCAGTTTATCTCAAGGCCACGTTTTGGAAACCTTTCAGTCATTCCATCTGCATGCAGACACAGCTCAGCAGCAAACCAATCACTGTATGATGATTCATTTGCAGCCATACGCCCAAAATTGTAGAATGCAATGCGTTAACATTTGAATCGCAATTTGCATCGCCGACTGGAAGTGCTCACCCAGTTTATGCTATCTCTTCCTGATACACCACCCATCAGGGGCTACACTCCTCAGAACTCAAACTCGCTGCTTTGCTGGAGGAATGAAAGAGAGATCTCCTCTCTGTGGGGTGGTCACAACTTTAGGTCTGTTTACTATCAAAAGTTTGATAAAGTACACAAAATCGTCAAATTTATTTGGAACTTGAAATTGTTGCAATTCTTTTCGCCATTTTTAACATTTACACCGCGGCGAAAATTAAGTGCATGCTGAGGAGGAGAGAAAGAAGATAGAAAGAAAGAGAAGAAGGAGAAGAAACGGAGACAGAACTATGATAGCAATCATAGAAAATCGGAAGCCAGAAAGTACAAAAGTAAGACAAATCGATTGGGAACAGTGACACCTCAGACGGACACAACAAATGACGTGACCACACAATGTGACCAGGTATTTGAAGAACAAGCCGGAGCCCCAGAAACGCGACCCCCAGGAGTAAAAGCGCACCTTATATCCACGGCTTAGCCAGCTTGTCCGGATGTTCATCGCCTTCTCCTGTCGCGAATTTAACAGCCAAAAAACGTTGTGGGAGATAATGAGATAATCGAGCGAGGCTTCAAGCAAAGAACTTTGAGATTAATGAACTATTAAATCTATCACCACCAGCTCCATTCACCGTCAAATGATTTCACGTTCCCAACAATCCAAACAGAGGGTGAAGGGATTCAGATGATAACACTGAGCTCTGAAGATGGAGGCATGATGACTGAGTCGGACGAGGGAAACAGTTTCATTGAATTCAGTGAGGTTAAAATGACGAGGATGACGTGTACAAAATAAATGTGTAAAATGTTTCTCGATATTAATAAAGTTGCATTTTATTGAATATTTAATAAAGTATTTGACATTCAAATTTTATTGACTATTTGATAAAGTAATTTGACACATGTGTTTTTCATGTATTTTGATTAGAACTTTTTATCCGGGACCAAACCTTGTTCTCGTTCAATTACGCTTTTGCTTTCTACTTTGAACACATCGATTAAATATTACGGGTTTTCATTATTGTTGAAATAAGTCTTGAGATTCGGATGTTAACAAGCTCAACCTTACTCGAAAATACTCAATAAAATTCATCTATAACACTGATGCTGTCTGTGTTCGATGATTGTTGTCATAAGTTTTTTATTTATTAACCTAATACCTTTTAATTATGAGTAATGAGTTCCATTATTCCAAGTCAGACAAGATTTCATGTCACTGACCAGTGAATTTGTTTCAATCTTATCCCAGTATCAGTTTGTCTTTGTTTAAATCCAGACAGTGGGAGTCCCCTGGTGCAGGCTGGACCTATCTCATTACCCATAAATAGGTGTCAATTTCCCATGTCAGTCTCATATTTCTCACAATATTCAATGGCATATCCTAACACGGTCTTTAGCTAACACATCGGGTTTGTTAATTGGCGGGCTGCCAATGAAATACGAGCATCTCGGCTCTAGCTCATATAACAGTTATGTATAATATATATATTATATTATTATGTTACATACATTGTTTTATTTGGTAGTTGGCTTCATTATGATTTATGTGAGTTTTCGTGTGTAAGCAAAGTAGCTGATTAAAACGGCATTTATGATTCAATGTGACTCATATTATTATGATTTTGTAAGGTGTAATCATAAAAGCATATATTTTTCATTGTTGGGTGCTGTTATAATATATTCAGTGTTAAGTTAAGATTCCCTTATTGATTATCCTGTTATCTCCTTTCTCGCTCGTTCCAATATTTTACAAGCTATTGTTATTAATTTACAACGACTCAGGTTTACGTTTTCAGTCCTAATACTGACGGATTTAACAATTATTTTAAAACGGCCACCACTCACCATGGCTACCAAAATATTCAGATGAAAACTGATTGTTAATTCTAGTCGTAGATCATTTCAAATTTAGTTTGCATCAAGTTTTCCCTATTATTTGGACGGGTTATATTAACATATTGCTATCAGTCGTCGTGATCTCGATTATTAACTTACTCAAGAGAAATTGTCACTTTTGCTTTTGCTCAGTTTTCTGTTTTGATGAACTTATATCATGGTTTGACTAGTTAAACTCACTCAATATGATTATCAAGTTTATTTTCATTGCACCCGCTGATGGGAGTGAGGACTGAGGGGAGGGGGGGTGATATGATTGCTTTTCAAGAAAGATGATTTTAAAAAAGTTTAGGCCTTGATTCTCTGGTAAATCATCAAAAGAAGACACAAAAAACGTTGCAATTTTTGTGCTGATTGTAATTCGAGGAAACAAAGTACCAAAGTAAAAACTTCAATAGACAATTGGTATGATATTTTTTGACATTCTGTTAACGGGAACAATTAGCAGTTGGCTGGACCACTGTTTAGTGTTTACGGTTAAAAGAATGTGTAATTAATGAAGTAAAATCCTCAAAGCAAAATAAAATTGACACCTTGTTAGTAACAGTAAGTAAGAAAACAAAACTATAATAAAACTAATAACGAGACTTTTTGACGCAGATGCATTTTTTGAGGTTTCAACTCTTGGACCGCTAAACGTTGGAATTTCGGTAAATTTTGTCCGAATTAAAGAGTTTTTCAGATATTTCATGGATATTTTGCAGAATTCTAATCTCTATTCAAGGAAACTTATAATTGATACGACAGAGTGTTGTCACTTCTATTACCTTCATCACTAATGGAATGACCAGGCCTTTGACGTGGCACGAAATTGTTTCCAATTTCGTAGATAGTTTGAGACTCATTGAAATTCTGAACTTTGTCTCTCTAAACTCTAGATTGACTCTAACACAAACAAGAAGTGAACGTCAACTTCTGAGTTACGTTGTTATGAGCTGAGATAATTGCTAACTAAATTGGTAGTTAAGAAGCACGTTAACGTTTTTCTCACAGTTAACACGAATGAATGAAATATGGGTCAACTGAGCCCACATGAGCTGCTAGCTCGTATGCGAAGGGCGCACACGCCAAATTGTTTGATTAAGATGAAATTGCTCTATCGACACCATATTTGTGAAACAAGCGCGCGGTGCGTGCTTAATATTAATAGAATTACACAGTTTAAATAAGCTTCATCTTTATATTACGCTTCAAAGTCTGACTGTTCTGAATTCAAATAGTATTTTAGTTCACATTTCATTACGTCAGTCCTACCACCAGTAACCAAACAACCTGGTATTAGCCACTATATCTACTTATCTAGCTAGAGCTATTATTCACAATCTTATCCCATGAATCACAACTTACCAGCACTCAATCGCTCATCATCTACCCGACTGAGAATTGAACAATGGCAAAACCATCTTTTTATTTCTGTATAATCTTGTTATGATTAATTATTTATTCATCTAATATTGATGGTTCACAGATTTGAGGTACGATCTAAGATTAAACATACAATATACTCGACCAACAAAATATTATTAAAATAACATGATTTTTACACTTCTAACATTACCCAGATATTATGTCGAGATTCATGTTAGATCAGCCGGAAGTGTTAGCAGTGTCAGTAAGTTTGGTGTCAGCTGCGACGGCCCTAGCCTACTATCTAACCCGCCCCAACTCTCCCAGACAGGCCGCGAGCTCGCTATCACGTGACATTGGTGGTGGAGTGAGGATCAGTAGTCTGTGTCCTACTGACGAAGTGATAGACAAGCCCTACGATGGGGTCGAGACACTGTACGATGCCTTCCAGCGGGGTCTGCGGATCAGCGGGGACAGACAGTGCATGGGACATAGAAACGGGGACAAGTTTGTGTGGACCACGTACAATGAACTTGAGAAGAGGGCTAAGGACTTTGGGTCGGGTTTAGTTGCTGAGGGAATAAAACCCGGCGGGGATATCTATATAGGTATAATTGGGGTTAACTGTTTGGATTGGGTTGTGGCTCAGTTAGGATCAGTTTTTTATAGTGTAGTGTTCGTACCAATGTACGACACGTTGGGGGATGAAGCTATGTCACACATTTTGCAAAAGACAGGTTGTCAGATTGTAGTTGCTCACCCTGACAAGGTTGCCAAGATGGCCAATTTCCTGAGAGCTGGTTCACACGAAGTGCGAGTTGTTGTGAAAATGGTTTCTGATCCGTCGACAGAGGAGAAATCAGAGTTTCAGGAGCTGGGGGTGGCAATAAAAAGCATGCAGGATATCGAGGTTCTGGGACAGGCTACTCCCCAAGAGGTGTGTCCCCCCGCTCCTGAAGACGTTTACACCATATGTTATACCAGCGGAACTACAGGGATACCCAAGGGAGCTCTAATCTCTCATCAGAACATGACAACAACCATGGCGGGTGTCATGCTGACTAACTCTGACTTTATACTTTCTCCTGAAGATGTGCATTTCTCTTATCTTCCGCTGTGTCACTTGTTTGAGATGAACGTTCACATGTTTGTTTATACGGCGGGTGCCAGTGTTGGAATCTACTCTGGTACACCTCTTGCTATTCCTGATGACATAAGGATTTTACAGCCGACGGTCTTTCCTGCCGTCCCTCGAGTTCTCAACAAATTCAAGGACAAAATTCAGAAATCAGTGGCAGAAAAAGGAGCAATTGCTCAGTGGATTTTCGAGAAAGCTTTGGCATCGAAGTATGCAGATTTGAAGAAGGGGATTATGAGACAAAATATTTGGGACAAGATCCTACTTCAGAAAATCCGTGACATGTTTGGAGGGAAAATAAATTTGATAGCAACTGGTGCCGCTCCAGTTCTCCCTGAGACTCTCAACTTCTTCAGAGCCGTATTTGCAGCAAACGTTTACGAAGGATTTGGTCAAACCGAATCCACAGCAGGCAGTACTTTCACTCAACCGTTTGATTTCATTGGAGGTCATGTGGGACCACCGTTACCTGGCAACCTGGTCAAACTGGTCGACAGTGACGAAACAGGACACTTCGTGAAGGACGGTAAGGGCGAGGTCTGTGTTAAAGGTAAGAATGTCTTCATGGGGTACTACAAGGATGAAGAGAACACTAAAGCAGCGTTGGATGATGAAGGTTGGCTTCACACCGGAGACATCGGAGAGTGGAACCCGGCAGGGTGTCTCCGAATCATAGATCGTAAAAAGTACATTTTCAAAACCTCGCTCGGCGAGTACATCGCTCCAGAGAAAATTGAGAACATGTACGAACTGCATGGCATGGTTCAGCAGATGTTTATCGACGGAAATACAAGCAAATCTAAAATAGCTGCCGTTATCATTCCTGATGAGGACAATCTTCAGAAGTGGGCTGCCACAATTGGTAAGGGTGGGATGTCCTATAGCGAGTTGCTTGAGGATCCAGCCGTGAATACCAAGTTCATTACTGTGGTAAACGCGTTCGCCAATACGAAGTTAAAATCGTTCGAGTTGGCAGCCAAGATCAGGTTAGTCGATGTCGCTCTAACAGTTGAAAATGATATGGTCACCCCAACTTTCAAGAAGAAGCGACCTTGTCTGAAACGACATTTCAGCCAGATGTTTGATGTTATGTACAGTGAAATAAATTGAAGCTGTTTGAGACTTGAGTGATAGGAAGGGCATTAACAGAATTTCTTGACTAAATTTTATCACAATTTGGCTGGACCAAAACCCTTGCTTTGACATCCTCTTATTACTATCAAACTTACATTTTCGGCTATCGGGCTAATACTTTAAAACTTCAGTCATAGGCATAATGAATACATTAATTTTGATATTTGATATAGTGGAATAATGAGTCTTAGATCATTACCAATAACAATTTTCAATAATTGGTGTAAAATGTTAGGTTGATCGTAGTGTTAAGCACATTTTCATCTTAACTCTTTATGTTGGAAACAAGCACAAAGTGGAACTATTGTGACAGTTATTACTGTGAGACAAGTATTAATCTTCGATGCTCAATTAAAGTTTGTAAATATGTTCTTATTCATTGTTAGATTTCATTTTTATCCTTATTTTTAACCAAGATTTAGTTTGCACAAATCTAGCTCTTTTGCTGAATATTGCGAATATGTTTCATAGAAATACTTTGTATCTGTGAATATTGAATAAATGGCAGTGTGAGAGTGGATCTGAATTTAGAATAACGAACTATTTCAAAGAAAATAAAAGTAACATAAATGGTTTGAGTGTAATACTTATAATGCCGTAATTTGTATCATTACGCTATTGGTTTTACTGAACACGGTACAGCATTTAACAGTATTACTATTTAATAGTATACTGTTCAATATAAATAAAAGTAATTTCAGTTATTTTTGTATTCATTTGAAAATAACCGAAAGTGAAAACCTCTTTTTACGTATTGGATTATTGAAACTGCATGTTGTAGATGTCATGCCATGATTTTATATGATGCATGCACTTGGAAATAGCAAGTGATAACATAGAATTAGAAACATTGATTTCAATAGTAGCTGTCAATAGTCATATAAAAATATATTTGCTCGATGATTGAGGTTTAAACTCTCATTATATAAAAACGATGGTTTCTATGCAATTCTACATGATTCAAAATCTTTGAAATTCAAACTATAGCCTCGTCCACATTATTCTCGAAAAAGAAGCAGTCAAATTATTTAGCTTGACCATTAAATTTCTTGAAACGTTTTTAGTACAAAATTTAAGATGAATTTGAATTATGTACAATCAACATTGCATGTGTTGTGTCTGCAATTAATTCACCATTTGATACGACTTGTTCTTTAAGTTTATATTGAGTTATCTGAAATTCAAATAATATCTGTGTTTTAATTTGCTTATTTTTACTTTACTGGGCCGCGCTCAGCCTGTCATTCCGCCTAATCTCTAATGTTTATGAACATGATAGCCTGAGGTCCTCAGGTAAATTTTTACTGGGCCGCGCTCAGCCTGTCATTCCGCCGAATCTCTATCATCTATGAACATAATAGCCTGAGGTCCCAAGGTAAGCTTATTTGCACGCGAATTAACTTTGATTTGTAATTCATAATTGTACTATAAATTATAACTGCATCAGGAAAATTACTTGGCACCCTTTAGCACTGAATAAATAGTTTTTTAATGACAACTAAATTATGAAAATATTCGGAAAAGCGGAAGCTGTCTTAATCTTATTTATTAGGAAGTTGTCTACCAAGACGCCTGGGGCTCACCGAGTTGGACTCGTCGACGGTCGTGGAATATTTGAAACAAATATTTTACGAGTATCACCCGTTATAATAAAATAATACCTCTACTTTTGAGGGCTAAGCGTGATAATGCCCGAGAGCTTGCTGGAGGGAATTTGCGACCCGATTAAGCGAAGGTATTATTTGTTATAACTATTAGTATTGACGGTGGTTCGTGTAAGGCGCACGTTATATCTCCGCCAAAAGCACATCCAATTTGATACGTATGAAATATGTCTATAATTTCCTTGATTATGCACTAAGTTGGCGTTCCCCGACCAAAATTGAACGGGGAATCGTTTAAGATCACTTTCGAGGCACCTCGACAAAAGCTTATCACGATATTGTGCTTTTTATGGAGAAATACGTCAATCAAGTTTTTGAGCTTGTTATTCTCTTTCAAAAGTATTCCAAGTGATTTGTATAAGTGCATATATTAACGGCCTATATATACTACTGGGCTTGACATACAAGGAGGAGCAAAGTGCAAAGAAACTGCCACAAACTGCTACTAACTGCTACTAACTGCTACAATGTACAAACTGGCACTAACTGCCACAAACTGCTACTAACTGCTACAAACTGGCACTAACTGCTACAAACTGGCACTGACTGCTACAAACTGCTACAAACTGGCACTAACTGCCAGTTTGTAGCAGTCAGTGCCAGTTTGTAGCAGTTAGTGCCAGTTTGTAGCAGTTTATGGCAGTTTCTTTGCACTTTGCTCCTCATGTGTTAATTAATTGAGGGTATAAGTACATTTTAGTAGCATGCACTATTAGTAGCACTAGCACTATTAAATGGTTGTAGGTTTACAACCTACCAGGACGCGCGCCGAGTTGGACTCGTCGACGGTCCAATATATGGAACAGATATTTTACGAGTATCACCCGTTAACGCTTAGCCTAGGCGGTGCACGATAAAAATAAACTTGCTCGGATTTTCAAAATTTTTGTACCATCGTTTTCTAGAGACTGTGAGTATTATAACTTTTTGATTGTATCCGAAATAATGTGCTGGCCGAAATACGAGCTAAAAACCTATTCAATGGTCAGCGCGCGCGTCTTACGGTCGATGGCGCACTGCCTACTTAGCCTGTCATTCCGCCGAATCTCTATTTGGAGGACTTCAACGCGCCGCGCGAACTAGCATTCTTGCTTTGCATCGAAGCTTCGCAGAGCAACGATCTCGATGGGTTGATATCGTCATCAAAATATTTATATTTATGAACATGATAGCCTGAGGTCCCCAGGTAAATCTGGCCCGGCGCGCGCTACTTCGGAGCACTTGCCATCGGGCAACATTTCGAGAAGAAAGCGGCGCGCGCTACTTCGAAGAAATGTAGACGAGTAACATCCGTCAAATCCGATAATGCTTCTCGCAACCACGATCTTCGTTAGATCGGCAAAATGCGCTACTGGGCCTCGCCGAGCTGCGAAGCTGAAGAATTAACATCGTCAATTGAGCATGTCAGGTTAAACATTTAAAACGATCTTATTTGGTTTCAACTTCAAACTTCAAGAAAACAACAATTTCAAAAAAATTACTTGGCACCAGCTTGCCCCAGTGCCGGGTCCTACAGATGAGCCGGGGACCTCAGCTATTAAGCTTTTGTGTTCATACTTAGAATTAGCTTCATATATAAAGTTAAACACGATTGAAATTGTTATATTTGTATCACGTTGCGACCCCCACGGTCGTTTCACTATCAACTATGGTGGGGGATCATACAACGTATGACAAATATTTGTTATATTAAGAGGGTTAGTATTAAATTTGGCATGCTGAACTGTGAACTCTTTTCATTTTGTAGGTTTATAACCTACCACATACCAGGACGCGCGCCGAGTTGGACTCGTCGATGTTCCTAGCTATTTGAAACAAATATTTTACGAGTATCACCCGTTAATTTTCATCGCTTATGCAGTAAACCTTAACGGGTGATACTCGTAAAATATCTGTTCCATATATTGGACCGCGTCGACGAGTCCAACTCGGCGCGCGTCCTGGTAGGTTATAAACCAACTAAGTAAACCCCGCTTTTGAAAAATTTCGAAGTTTCAAATTAGTACAAATTGTAGCGAGATGCGCTACTGTGCCGCGCCGATCTGCGATGAATTGACATTGTCAATTAATAGTACAATATATAGTGATGACAGATGCTTTTAGGGCAAAACAGTAATACATTCTCCATTCTGCGTGATTAATGTTTTTCGTTTTAAATGACATGTTCACATATCCATGTGTCTACGCGTACTGCGTGACGCGCTTGTTTCGCGCGCTTCTGCAAGCGAGAGGGCTCTGGTTAGAGCAAAATGATATGCATGAAATCAAAATTTTCAAAAAAATTGGTGCGCCGCGCATATCTCAATTGACGCGCCGCGCGCTTATTTTGTTTTTTACTGATTTATATTGCACTGTAAAATTGAGCACTACATAAACAACCAGTTGTGTTTAACCCTTTATATTTGTTTTCTTTGAATTTTCAGATCTACTTCTTCTCACTTTTTGAATTTTACTCGCGGATCCAAAGCTTTGTGTTTATAGACACACCGATTGAAGATTTAAATATTAATATGACCAATGAATGTGAAGCTTAGATTACCCTGAAGCGATTATTACTTCGAAGAAATTTGCACAAGTTCTTTAAAACAATCTATATCAAATTATGGCAACATTTATATTGAAACTTCAGCATATAAACATAGTTTTTCAGCAAAATATTGTAGGTTCCTAGCAAGTTCTCAACTTTCTGGAGATGGCTCATCATACATTGTTCAAGTCCTCTTTTAGAAAACCTGCCAACCTTTCTTGGATTTCATCTTATCTTGGATTTCATCTTATCTTGTTAGGTGCATTTGCCTTATTTAGTCAGGATTTAATTTGACCAAAACCCATAATCATGGGTAGAGTGGACCGCTGCCAGTGTCTCTCTTTCCCAAACAAGAAGAAAAGATATTAATTTGAATAACCTTCCGCAAATGCAAAATGATACCGAGAATTAAATCGGTCGCTTGCTTTTCCCATTCATTCACGGCTTACGAATTGTAATAAGTTACGATTAATTGAATCAATCACATGCTGTAAAAATCCCTATGGGTTGCTTTCGGGTAATATTTCGGGGTAAGAGTGGTAGTTAGTGTCCAATTAGCGCTGATGTTTATTGGGGGGGGGGGGGGTACCACTGTCCATTTTATCCCTGCACAAAAAAACTTAAAAAAAGACAAAGACAAAAGGGACAATAGGGACAAAAGGGACAAAAAAGATAATAGGGACAAAAAAGACAAAAAAGACGGGGACAAAAAGGACAAAATGGACAAAAAGACAGGGACAAAATGGACAAAATGGACAAAAAGGACAGGGACAAACGAGACAAATAGACAGGGACAAAATGGACAGTAAAGAAAATAAGGTCAATTATCCGTTGAAATGCAAAAAATAAGTTCAGGCACAGTTTCAACAAGCTAATAAGTTGGGTAAATTCAGACAGAACAGTAAAGTCAATCTTGGTTATATATCAGCCTTAGTGTACTCACTGTTCAAGACAACTTGGTCTAGTCCGATATGCCTGCTCACTGATTCACATTTGACGTTTGAGCTGAACTTGCATTGCAAATAACATTCAAAAAGCAAGACAACTAATATTGCGCTGAGGGGATACAGAGGAAGAGATATAACTACTCTGTTTAGTTCTAGAGCTAGTTATTAGATTGAATATGGATTAAGGGCAGACATTGATGAGACTGATTATCGGGAGTATCTATTACAAAATCTTAAAATTCAGAATTATACATTGTTAACAATTTTTTTAAACATATAAAGAATATTCAAACAATATACACATAATATAGCAATGGCCAATTGGCTGACAAAAGGTCATGGCCTGAACAAACAATTTTTTTTAAATAGTCAAGTGATGCTAAAGCAGAGCACAAATGTGTAATAAGTTAATAGATTAAAAAACTGATTCATGTGATGCATTCGCAGAGCACAGATAAAAATACTGATTCAATGATTAAAATTATAGCTGTGAGTGTCAATAAATTACTGTGTCGTAAAAAAAGGAACGATGTACACGTGATCTGAGATACCAATAT